TAGCTTTCCTAACCTGATCTCTGGCTCCATGGACAGTTTCCCTGTATTGTCCCCAGGCTACCTGTCCTTGCTTCCACCCTCTGTAGGCTGCTTTTTTTTTGTTTGAGTTTGCTCAGGAGTTCCTTGTTCATCCATGCAGGCCTCCTGGCAATTTCACTTGCCTTCCTCTTTTCGCCCCTGAGCCTGGAGGAAGTGATCCTTGAATATTAGCCAGCTTTCTTGGGCCCCTCTTCCCTCCAGGGCTTTATCCCATGGGACTCTTCCAGTCAGGTCCCTGAAGAGGTCAAAGTCCACTCTCCTAAAGTCCAGGGTAGTGAGTTTGCTGTGTGCCCTCCTCACTGCCCTGAGGATCTTGAACTCCACCATGTCATGGTCGCTGCATCCCAGGCTGCCCTTGAGTTCCACATTCCCCACCAGCCCTTCTTGTGGTGAGAACAAGGTCCAGCATAGGCCTTCTCCTGGTTGGCTCCTCTATCACTTGGAGAAGGAAGTTGTCATCAACACATTCCAGGAACTTCCTGGCCTGCCTAAGCTGTGCTGTGTTGTTCTTCCAACAGATATCAGGGTGGTTGAAACCCCCCATGAGGACCAGGGCTTGTGAGCATGAGGCTGCTCCTACCTGTCTGTAGAGGGCCTCATCCACTTGCTCTCCCTGGTGCTCAAGACTCAGTCAAGGTATTGCCAGTAGGTAAAGAGCCCACGCAAAGTTTCTGGAATTAATTTTGACAGTAACACTTATTCAGGGGATGAGAAGGGTTCCTCATGTCTTGAATTATGGTTACTCCCATTACCTCTTCTTATATGCGTCATTCTTCTCTTTTTGCAGCATGCTGTGAACTACATGAAAGTTGCCTACATGCCACCACTGCAGGACATCGGGCCTGAACCTCAGCAAGTCCAGTTTATTTTTTCCGTCAGCAATCAGCATGGTGGCACTTTGTACGGGATCTGCTTCAATATTACAATTCTTCCTGTGGACAACCAAGCCCCAGAGGTAGGGTGGTGGTGAGGACGAGAGGGAAGGACTTGGAAGTGGGACTAGGATTTCAGTGTCTTGCACATAGCCTGCATTTGGGACTGAAGTGGAAGGCGAAGTCTGGTGAGTGTGCAAGGTGATCTTTTGCACTGAATAAGCTGAGGGCTACCTTCAGCATCTGAGTGGCTGTACAGAAATACGCACGTCACATCCTGGTTAGCAAAACTGCATTCCTTCTCTTTGTGTTGCCTATTGCCTGTGATGGCCAGGAGCCTCTGTGAATGGGATCAGGTCTGGGCTTCATGTATTAGGGCCTATTATTAGTAAAGTCCTTAGGCTTTCCTAACACAGCAAAGAAGAGTACAGCCTTTGCCATTTTGCTTTTTAAGGTGTCGCATGGCCTCATACCCGGCCAAATTGAATTTACCATGTTCAGTGCATGTTTGGAGGTGCAGTAGAAAAGAATTCAGCATTTCTCCTCCATGCAGGTTTTTGCAAACCATTTGAAAGTGGAAGAGGGTGGCCTGAGCCCTGTCACAGAGGAACACATTCTCATCTCTGACATCGACACAAAACGGGAGCATCTCTTCCTCCTCATGCAGAGACAGCCTCGGCATGGGGCAGTGGAGCTGGATGGCGTTCCCATGAATGAAGGCGACAGGCTTTCCTGTGGGGATCTGCATTCACTGGCAGTCAGGTTAGGAATGTGGCTGTCTTCTTCTCTTGTGGCAGCTGAGTCTCTCAGTTGGATGGGTGAAAGCCCTTCAGTGAAGTGGTGCAGAGGCTACAGCTAGCCATGCTCACCACAGCACGGCTCTCCAGAGCTGCTCCAGGCCAGGGTTACTGGCTGAGCCTTAGTACTGCAGTGGTCACTGCGGAGACTGAGATGTTGTGTGGCCAGGAAGTGGGAGCTAGCAACTGTGTCTGATGTAGGTAGGTTACTCTATAAAGCACTGCCCCATGCAGATGAGGAGGCAAATTCTGTATTCAGCCATGCAGCTGCTGTGAAGAAGGCAATGGTTGACAGCTTTTTCTTTTAAAGAAGTTGTGTGCTTATTGGTTAGTTTACAAGAAAACTTGTATTAACACTAATTAACTTAGAGGTGAAAATTTTGCTGTTATATTTGTGGCAAGAACAAGACTTGACTTTCTACATGCACGCAGAATTAGAGCTCTCTGACTCTGTTTCCATCTCTTACTCAAAGACGGCACCTACCACAGTGAGGACATGCATGTTTGGAAGACATCTCACAAGCAGCCAGAACACAGATGACAAAGTCTCAGTGAAACCTTTTTCTCAGCTAATGTTTGTTTTATCTTGGGGGTTTTCCTCTTGTGGGAGACCCCACAAGACCTCTGAAGACACCCTGATCCAGAATCAGCAGTCTTAGATGGACACCCTTGTGCAGGGATTGGCTTCTTATATTAGAAGGGATGCGCATTGTCAGGCATGACCAGAAAGCACAGCTTTGTCTGTGTGAAATCTATGTAGCCATTGTTTTTCTCACAGGTATCGGCACGATGGCTCCGAGACTCTCACTGATGATGTCCTCTTTGCAGCCACAGATGGCATCCACTTTGTAGAGTTCATCCTGCAGGTCAAGGTCAGTGTGTTGCATATTTCTGAGAGCAATTGCCTGTGTAGAAGAGTGCAAAAGTTGACTTCTGAAAGTCGTCTCATTCCCTTGGAAACTGGACAATAATGGGCTTGTTAGGTTTCCTTTTTTTTGACCCTGGCTTTCAGGTTTATGCGGCAAATTTGAGAGGGGATTTGGCTTGTACTAGCTGAAAGGTATTTGTGCTTGCTTTAGCTTGGATTTTTCTGTCTGGAATTGCTCTCTCTGTACTTAAATACAGGGCGTGAGCTTTCTTTCTCAAGCTATAATTCTCTAGTTTGGTTTATTTTTGTCTTTGAATTTTGAGAGTGACCCTAATTCGGCTGATTTTGTTTTGTTCATAGAGAGAGCTCAGTGTACTCTGACACTGACGTCATGCTACTGGCTTGGGCTGGAAAGCAATGTATTAAAACAACAGGTTTCCACTGAAATTAAAAATAGAATATCTTAAATTATTTTTCTGATTAGGTGTTGCCTGTGAATGACGAGCCACCTGTCATGCGAATAGGCCTTGTTCCTGTGCTCCACTGCCTGGAGGGTGAAGAAGTGGTCCTCTCCTCAGAGTACATTTCTGCCACAGATGCAGACAGTGATGACATGAAACTGATGTTTACACTGACTCGCCAGCCCCACCATGGGATAGTGAGGAAAGCTGGCACTGCTGTGGATCGTTTCTCTCAAGCTGATGTCATCTCTGGTTTAGTCACATATGAGCACACTAGTAAGTGAGTTAAGGACAGAATTAGACTGGAAGGTGGTCAGAGAGTTTTTGGCAGAAAATCTTAACCTGAATCCATATAACACTTGAAGGACCTGCTGAGAAACCACATGTGTTGTGACCAGGGAAAAAAGTAAGCTGGCTTCAAAAGAAGGCTGATGATGACAACTACCAAATGCTTTAATGTGTTCTCCAAATCCCTGTTTGGACTGAAAATTGTATTAGCACAACTACATGAAAGCGTCATAATCCTAGAGGATGTCTTTCATGGGTGATGATAAAATATCTTGGACATTTTTGACAAAATTACTATTAAATTAGGCACCAAATAGAGTCTTTCTATTTGTTTCATGATATTAAAAAAAAACCTTTGACGTATTTCCATGTCAGGTTTTGATAAAATAAAAACACTGTAAATGAGGATGCTGAGTTTTAATAGAAAACAAGCTGAGGTACTTCTTGCTTACCTCTTCAATCTAGATGGCTATCCACTTTTGGACAGTTTACAGTTTTTCTGTACAAGAAGATAAATAATGTTCAGATTTTACTCAAGAGAACTACACTGCTAAAAAGATGTTATTTTTTTTTGTTTTAACTTTAAAATGCCAAAATACTTATTTTTAAAATTACTCACAGAAATCAAGGGCCACTTGACCCCCTTTTCTACTTAATTTTGTCCTTTATGAGTAATAAAGGGGTTCTCTTTTCTACATCTCTGATGAAAACTTGAATCTTTATTTTTCAAAGGCTCTGTTTTTCTGTGTAATTAGTCTGTAATTTTGTGTTAGCATGGAGAATACATGTGATATTTTCAAGCTTGGCACTGTCTAAAGTGAACAGCTGGTGTTTGAGAAGGGAAGAAAGTATTTGATTATGGCCACCCATAACAAACTTTTCTTCATCATCCTAAAGATATCAGGAACATTATTTCAGTGGCAGTGTTTTGCAGAGACAACGAAGGGCAGAAGCTGACCTTGAAGGGTGCAGTGTTTGTGTTTTTCATTCCCAAATTTCTACACTGTGCTGCCACTAGATATTGTAAGAGAGGTTGGGAGTCACTGCCTTTCCTTTGCAGGCAGCTTATTAGTCATATCTTGCAGCAACGCAAGACACAGGCTGTCAGAAGTACCAAGAACTGGAATACACTTGGCTACAGATGCTTCTTTCAAGAGATGTCTGTACCCAGTCCTGTGCTGTGTCAGCCCACATTTAGAATCTGCTTACAAATATGCATAATAGTATAGTAACAAGGAACAGTCCTTGTTACAGTCCATTGTGTAGGGAGAAGAGGCATATAAGAATAAATGCATTTCTTGGTATGCAAAAATGCTTTCTTCTGGAAGAGCATGGATATTACCATTTGTCATAGAGAGGGTATATATATAGAAGATAATTTCCTACATTCTTCAAGAAGGAATGCAGAAAAAACCATCTCTGCACAAATGTACATTTTGCACATGCCTTAGTGCACATGATAGTGCACTATCCTAGATAGAACAGGATCAGAAGGACTATTAGCATTTTTATTACAATTACAATATAATAAAATAACATTGCAATAATAATATTATAAATATTAGCAATACTAACTTTGTGGTACTTTTTTACACCCTTTTATTCTAGAATAGAAGTAAGCTGGTTAAAATTAATTACAAACAACAAACCAAATCCCTAACCAAACAGCACTCACACCAGCCAGAATTAAGAATTCTATTAATTTTGCTGTTGTTTTCTTCTTCTTTTGACTTCAAATACTGCAGACTGTCCTTGTGGGACATAAAATTATTCTTCCTGAAGTTTTGGTAAAACATTTCTTCTGAACTGCAACATTTTTTCCAGGTGGGGAGATTGGCCTGACTCCTTCCACTGAGATCTTAACCTTCATTGTCTCTGACAGTGAGGCTGGCCTAGATGTGAAAGGCTGCTGTTATGATGGAGCTCTTCCTCCTCCAGTTCCTCTTCACAATCCATTTCCAGTATATGACCTTAACATCACTATACTTCCAGTGGACAACCAGCCTCCATCAATTGCAACTGGTGAAAGCTTCCTCTCACTATAACATTGTAATGTGGGCTATGCAGTACTGTAATAGCTAAGGACTGAGGGGTTTTGTTTGTTTGCTTTTTTTTTGGTATCAGAAGAAGTCAGCTGAGATCAGTATACAAAAGTTTTGGATTAGAATTTCCATCAATATTTTTCCTTCTTTTGCTGGTATAGCGCAACCACCAAATTCATCTGCAGGTGCCAGTATAAGTAACTGCTTGTGGCTCTTCAGCTGCATGTTTAAGTCACGTGGTGAGAGAAAAGAGTGCTCAGATCTGCTCCCCTCCATCTATACATGTCCATTGCTGCATATGTAAGCTATGTCCAAGTAAAAGTGACTGATATCTTGTCCCTGAACTGAACTTAGGTCCAGACAATTCTCAGGTTTATACAACACAAAGCCATACATATCTATCTACCTTTGCATGTAAAATATACAACAGAAATTCAGATTCTGGCCCTTATATAAAGGGAGAGAATCTTTTATTACATATATTTAATTCTGTTAGTGACTAAAGACAAATCTAGGCTATATATGTAGCATGTGCGAAGACACATTTTCACTAGTACTCTTCAGGATCAAAAATACTCCATTAAAATGGAAATAGTGTTGGTAATGTACATTTAGTCCAACAGCAGCCTATTGTGTGAAATTTCCATTGACCTCCTGGGCTTTGGAAGAGGTCTGTAGTATACATATTAAAGATATGCTTTCTGTATGCTTGTCTGTTTCAGTTATGTAATTTGTTTGTAAGCATCACATATATGTTATGTATCTCAGAATATTTAAGCTTATGTATGAGTAGTTTTGTAATTTGCAGGCTTTCACCCAAAAAATGTTCTGGAAATGAAGTATTGTCCCAGCAGGGAAATTAAGCAGTGATGCATGAAAAATTGTTCATTATGAGCAATTCATAACAGCTCTCATGTAATTAATGCTCTGACAAACAGAGGTAACAACTGATTAAAGTAGCACATAAACCATACCTAATAACTTGCCAGTAAGATAATTTCACAATCCCTTTCCTCTCTACTTACATGATGGCAAAAGTAGAGTTGATGGTGTAAGCAGAGAAAAAAAACATACCCAACACCCCTCAGTAACTCACTATTGGTTGTCTCTTCCCCCTTAATTATTGTTTCAATTTTTGTTAACAAAAACAAGACAGTAAAATGAGCTAAAATGTAATAATGCTTATCATATTGTTTGTGTGCAGGTGCAAGGTTTGTGGTGGAGGAGGGCTCCTCAGCAGCCATTACCACAAACCATTTGTTTGCCACTGACCCTGACACCACTGCAGATGATTTAGAGTTTGTCTTGGTTTCTCCTCCCCAGTTTGGTTACATTGAAAATATACTGCCTTCTCCTGGGTTTGAGAAGAGCAACATTGGTATAAGTATAGGTAAGTCTTAATGACATATGGTAATCAAGCAGTTGAAACACAGAGGGCTTGTGGAGGACTGTGCGGTGGGCTCTGGTGAAGTAGCTGTGAGCACATGCATTAATATGGGCTTACTGAAGAAGGCAGGTGCTGGCAAATGAAGAACAGTGGGACTGTGTGGGAGGAGTTCAAAGGGAGAGTGCAGCTCTGCAAATGTGAAGAATTGTCATCTGGAGTAAACAAGCCAATCCTTGTTTTATGCATTCCAGCTGCAATCTATTAGAAGTGATAATATGAGAAATTAATCTGCTCTCAGCCTCCCCCTCCAGTCTCCCATGCGAGGCTACTGCACTTCCCTTCACCTATACTTTTGTCAACTACGTGCTGTAGGTGAGAATTTGAAAAGCCTACATCCCATGTCAGTTTCCAAGGCAGTTACGAAAGTGATAGAGATGGTGGTTTACTTGGGTCTCTTCCTTTGCCCACTTTCAAACATTGTAAGGCACTCTCATCCCCACCAGAACAGATTATGGCATGCTCTGTAACGCTACCAGCTGTTACCAGTGTCTCCAGCTGGACACCTGAAATCGATGAGCCTTTTGGTCCCTGTTTCCCTGGTCTGTCAGTCAAATAACAATGTAATGACTTAGACCTCAGATCTTTTCCTACCTGTTATTTCTCTCTTTTTATTTTGGCTCAGTTCTGCAGACTACACTTAGAAGTATGAAGTTGCACAGTCCCCTAGAAGCAGAAAGATGCATTTTTTTTCAGGGGAAGGGCATGTGTCTTGTGGTAACATGTGCTGTGTAATTCTTTCAGAAAATAAAAGACTGAGAACCTAGAAAATCAAAATTATTTGCTCTTTGAAGAAAGACATAGTTTCAGATTTTTTAATGATACATAAGACCAGAAGGCAGGAAAAGATTGTGCTAACTCATGATCTCTTCAAAATCTCTAGCTTCGTTTCAGCTGAAGCACCTGAAAGCCCTGAACATAAACTATGTACAAGCCAGGCACATGCGAATGGAGCCAACAGCAGACTACTTTGTACTTTATGTCACTGATGGGCTGCATCGCTCAACAGAGACTCCATTTTTCGTGCTGATCAACCCAACCAATGATGAAATTCCAGAATTCACAGCTAGGAATATTACTGTAAGGAAAGAATCAAAATGCCTGTTATATAATAATTTACTATAATAGCCTGCTCCTCTGAATCTTTCTCTTACTATGTGTAGTTCAGTCTAGCTGAGGAAACAGACCAGTTAAATCCCTTGTTAACCTGTAAGGCAGAGCTTCAGTGGGACTTGAGAAGTGCACAGCTCTGTTTGGTAACTTTCATTAAGTAAAAAAAAAACTCAAGTTTTTAAGCAAATAAGTCATCTAGAAAGCAAAAGGATCTTTATGCTTCTGTTTTCTCAAGAGCTTTTCACAATTTTTTTGTAGAGGTTTTTTTTTTGTTCCTGGCATAGCCTCTCCCCTCTCTGAAGACTGCTTTTAATATAAGTAATAATTCTGTGACCACCATGCTAGGGCAGTGTAAGCCTGTCTTACTGTAAAGTAAAAAGTGCATGTATGTATATAAATTTATATGTATTCATATTTTTTACATATATTTATGTATTTAAAGGCTTTCTCCTCTGTGCATTCCTTAGCACATAATATTAAGTTTACTCACCTAACAGCTTTTCTATTCATTGGGGCAGATATGAACTCCCTATCTCACCTTCTCTTTTCATCACTGTAATAATTTACTACCGTATGTCTCTTAAACTAGTTGAAATCTGTAGCTGGCTCAAAATCTACTGGGGGAAGGGGTAGAGGAAACAAAGAAATACACCAATACACAAAAATATGCTACTTAGGAAACTATGTTAAAATTCTTTAATTTTTTTTATGTGAAAGAATTAGACTTTTTTTTTTTTTTTTTTTCTTCTGTCATGTTCAGGTTCAAGAGGGGGAGATGAAAGAGCTGGATCTCTCTGTTATCAATGCAGTTGATCTGGATGTGCCTCAAGACTGCTTGGTATTTGCGGTTGTGCAGAGGCCCTGGCATGGGTTCCTTATTAATGGAGTTCATGGCAATGATATTCTACACTATAAACAGTTAATTAACCACAACCACCACAGCCATGGGTTGCTTGTTCATGACTTTTCCATGGAGCTACTGAAGAATGGTAGGTGCAGCATTCTTTTGACATTGGTTTTTCATTGATTTAACGAGGCAAGGTGGCACAGTAAGAAACTTTCACCACTTATTTATTCACTTGCCTTATGTGTATTTTCAAGACAATATTTAGCAATAGAAGGTTAGGCTTAGAAGTTAACCTATTAATGCTAATGTTATATATTGATTTTAGGAACTGTCAATAAAATCACCCTGAGAGGCCTACATGTCAGAAAGGTTACTAATATGACCAGAGAGACCATCGCCCTGAAAAAATAAAGGCAACTTTGTAACATATTGGCAAACAGATTTCAAAATATTTGGCAGCACCTAGAACAGAGAGACTACTTTTAAAGATATTAACTGATCACGGGGTTAAATATTGCTCTAAATGTTCACAGAATCATAGAATCATAGAACAACAGTTTGGGTTGGAAGGGACCTTCAAGGATCATCTGGTCCAACCTCTCTGCCATGTGCAGGGACATCTTTCACTACATCATGTTGCTCAAAGTCTTGTCTAACCTTGCCTTGAACACTTCCAAAGACAGAGCATCCATAACTTCTCTGGGCAACCTGTTCCAGTGCCTCACCACCCTTATTGTAAAACATTTTTTCCTTATGTCCAAACTAAACCTACCCTTTTTTGGTTTAAAACCGCTGTCCTGTCACTACAGGCATTGGTAAAAGGCCTCTCCCCATCTTTCCTATAAGCCCCCTTTGTGTATTGGAAGGCCTTAATATATACCTTCATCATACCTTCATATACCTAACGATAAAGGTATGAACTGGGGCTGTATAGCTTAGCATGACGAGTTAACCTGCTTTGAAGCAGCAAAGCTCTTTCAAGTACATGTAATCAAAAAGTATATTTAACACTGTCAGGAATATGGTGGATTCATGCAGACTGTGGACAATTAGTGAAATATGGGATCTATCAATGGAAAGAGGGACACAAATTAAATCCTGCCACTCAGGTTACAGTTCAGCTCTCGAAACCTGAGGAAAGATTTTTCTCCTCTCTGCCTGTCTAATACAAACCTTCAGAAATATCATGTTCCCACCCCAAAGTCCTCAGCCTTCCCAAATCCTGTTTTTGACTCTCTTCCAATTGCTTGGCTTTTCTCTTTTCCTGTCCACAATGGTGACCAATCCACCTCCAGCCTAGATCTTCTGCTTGTCCATGGTCAGAGCCACAAGGCCAGCTGTCCTCCCCTGAGTTTGTTTAAAGCTCCCTGAGGATTACTTAAGGCACAGAAAAGTGTTGCCTGATAGTCTCACTCTTTCTATAGTCCTTGTTAAAAATGAATTTTAAAGAGAATAGGAGAAGAAATGTGCCTTTTTCAGATGAAGAGACCCTTTTGTGAAGGTAGTCACTCCTTACTCAGGTCAGGCTGGTGTCCTTGAGTCAACAGGTTGATGTTAGATTAATGAGCAGTAGTGACTCACCAAGCTTATCTCCTGGTAGCTGAACTAATCTTGCTGTGACTGGGGCATATGGGGAGGGGAGATGGAAGGGTGATGGAAGCAGGGTGAAATGATGAGAGATTTTGCAGGAGTCTGATTTATTTGTTCTTTCCATGTCCCTCTCTGCCTTCTTCCTCCTCCTCCCACCTCCCCACCCCCCCCAAAAAAATTTTTCTTCCCACCGCCTCTTGTACAGGAATGAAGCTGATGTACATGCATGACAATTCAGAAAACCTCACTGACAGCTTTAAAATCCAGCTATCAGATGGGAAACATAAAGTCCTCAGAACCATTTCAGTAAAGGTCATTCCAGTTAACGATGAGAAACCTCTGCTGGTCAAGTAAGCCACTTGTTCCTGTCTCTGACAGAGGGATTACTTCAGACAACATGATCCAAAAGTGATGAAAACAGAAATTTGGTGACTTATGGGTTGAGGATGACATAACTAGTTGCAGACTAGTGTCAATACAGATGTTTCCATGCAGGTCTCTATCAGCCTGCTTGAGAAAAACATTTTTAGTAAAAGAAGAGTATGCTTTAATGTTGCTCAATATTAAAAGAGTAGAGAAAAAGAAAGGGGTGGGGGGGATGGACATGCTTGTTTTGTCTTTCACAATTTACTTCAAGATGTTTGCCAGAGACCCCTGATCTTTGCACATCTCTGCTGGCCACTGACCACCGTGGTACTGACCGCAGTTACTTTGCTTTCCCCTTCCCTGAGGCAACCACCTGTCTAAAACACGTCTCTGAAAGCAGCTCTAGACTGTGGCATGAGAGAATCTGCAAGGTTGATACCTCCTTGACTCACAGGGAAAAGCTTTCATCTTAATGATTCTCTTATTTTCTATTTAAAAAACTCTACTGCTCACCCATAATTCAACTTCTGAAAAGGTACACAACAACTTCCCTTACAGTTCAAAACTAGGAGTCATAAACGAATAAGACATGGTCAGAAATGGCCTGTCAGACCATTTGCAGATAGGCAGCTGACTGTGAGAGAGCCAAACCTCCCAGACATTTTAACAAGGAGCTTTTCCCTGGGGATCCCTGTTTTTCAGCTGCCACAGAACATCAGGGCCTCTGTCCTCCTGACTGCTTTCCAGCTAGGGAGGCAGATGGGGGCCTCAAGGCTTTGGGGGTATATCTCCAAACCTCTAAAGTGCACACTTTGGAAATGACTCACAGCCTGTTAAGCAGGCTGCCACTAAAGTGGGAATTTCTGATCCCTCAGGATATTTGGCCTACCTTCACATCAGACCTACATTTCCCATTGCAGAGAATTTTGAATATTTTGTTTACCGTGTAGAGCTTCCTGCATTAACAAATGTTAGTTTTACAGTGGAAAGATTATCAAGGACCACATAATGCTAAGAAAGGAAGTCCATTTCTAGTCGGAATAAAGCGTACAGTTTATGTATTCATATCATGTACTGATAATTACTGATAATTGCCTATTTGTTTCCCACATGGTAAAGATTATGTTATGGTAAATGTTATGTAATTTTCCACCCTTTCCCTCTGAAGAAGGGGGTGGAGTGTAAGAAGTCAAGTGTTTCTAGCTTTTCACAACTGGATCCAGAAGCTGTTGCTGCCTTGTTAGATCCCACCATTTGCCACTCCTGTGGTGAACATTAGCACATTAGCTATTTCTTTATAAGAAGTCACTGCTTCTTGCCTCTTCCACTGAGATGCAGTATGCTGCCAGTGGCTAAGCAGTAGTGCTTTAAGGAAGCATATTCAGTTTGGCATTGAAGTGGTTTAGCTGCCACATTCTGTCACCACATCTTTGCTGTGAGGTGGGAGCTCCCTTATGCCACTGCGGTGTTTTACAGGTGAACATTCGGCAATACCTGTAAGCTTTTTCTCATCTTATGATCTGGGGACACCTTTCCACCCCACAGAGTTTCAGTTCTCATCTCCATTAGCTATGATCAACAGACTGAAGAATCTGGGATGGAATGTTTTTGGCTGGCAATCAGTGGCTCTTATTCACAATGATTGCCAGAAACTCAATCTGTCAACTCTTGGATTGAGTCCTGTAGCAAGGGAAGGTAAGGCCCTCACATATTCCCCTTGAAATCTTCTTCTCGAGATGTGGGTGCTAGAAGGATTTAACCAACTAACTGCTACATAGAAAAATTAGTTGGGATTAGACAGCATTCAGGGTGTAGCTAAACATATTTATCCCCACTTCCTTTTTTGTCTGAATCTTCTTGTCCTAGCTCATACAGTCTTTGGGTCAGACCTCGAGTCTTTCTGTTTGCACTGTCCTAGCATGATTACTGCTGGTGTGAGTAAATCATTAAGGTTGCTTCATCTGTCATTAATACAGAATGAATCATAGAATCGTAGAGTCATAGAATGGTTTGGGTTGGAAGGGACCTTAAAGATTGTCTAGTTCCAACCCCCCTGCCATGGGCAGGGACACCTCCCACTAGACCAGGTTGCTCAAAGCCTCATCCAGCCTGGCCTTGAACACCTCCAGGGATGGGGCACATGACTTGATATACTTTGTCACGTGACTCTTTTTTCTTTGCTTATTTTGCCAAACACGAAATTTCTATGCCTCATATCCATATGGGTTTCAATATGAAACTTCAGGAAAAAAAATCTCCACTCTTTCTGAGAATAATAAATATATTTTCCAAAATCACGAAGTAATTGTGACAACTTCTTTGGAAATCTCAGTTGACACTCTGCTTTGGAGCAGGTACTTGTAGCTTGGCAAGGAAAGGGCTGTTACATGAAGACTGTATCTTCAGCCGTTCTTGTAAAAAATCTACCTGTATTTGGCCTTTGAAATAGCATGGCTTGCACATGCTCAGTTGTGTCTGACCAGAGTTTAGCTGCTCAAATGCCTAAGGAGTCTGTCCTTTCCCAACCTGCTCTATGGCCCCTGGGCAGATTAGCTTGAGCAGATCCCATCCTGGGGTGACTGAACATGCTGAATCGCCTCCAATCTCCTTGAAACTTTAGTATTGTCTAATCATACTGTTTGGGTGCTACATTGTGAAAATGTGAGACAGCTAACAGCGTAATGGTAAAGCAGGGCGTGCAGAAGAAAACTGGAAGATGGTTACTAGGTGAGAACAGAAAGAGAGAACATGCAATCTGAGAATCACCCTGGAGCAAGACTCCGCATGGATTTCAAACTATGTGGGATTTTTTTCCACAGAGCTGCCTCAGATTTTATTTGTGTCAAGTAAGGACCATTTCTGCCAAGGAACAGATGGCCTTAACCTACTCTTCTGAATCAAGAACCCAGAAATATTCTGCAATGGGGATCATAGAGAAGAAGCCAGTTAGGTCTTTGTAGTGTGTCTTAAAGATTAAGGTGAGCAGCGACAGACTAGTAATTTGAAAGAGAGTCTTTTCTCTAATGAATAATCAGTTCATTAGAGCCAGTATTGCTAAGGTCTATAGCAGCAGTAACATATAACACAGCCTGTTTGTTTACATTGTCCTCTTCTTATAAATTGTATGAAGGTAAGCAGAATAGGGCCCAGAGGAAGAACACAGACATGGAAAATCCCAGGTTGTTGTAGGTATCTGCTTTGTTATTTTTTCACCATTGTAAGTAGAACATAGTCTACTCTGTTTGCTTTTTTCTTCTGTTTTGAACTGAAATAGGTACCCTCCTTCCATTCTTTCTGCAGTTGTCATTTCTCTCAGCATCTGGGTAATCCATATTCCTGGCAGAGAAATTATGTGTTGGAAAGGTTACTCTTCATTTATTCCATCAATAAATGACTTTGAATTTTTTTCAGGAAGGATGATATAGAGGTGAACATGGGTGAAACTCGAATAATTTCTAGTGCTGTTCTGTCAGTGGAAGATAAAGATACCCCCAGGGAGAGAATTCTCTACTTATTTGAAAGACTTCCAGAAAATGGTCAGCTTCAGCTCAAGGTTAGTCTTTGTGCTCCAACAAAAAGCAGACATGCAAATAATTCTCTTTTAGGTTAGAATGAAGTTCATCTTCCTTTTCTCCCAAATGTCTGTCATGTTTTGAAGTAGACAGCTGTGGCAAATTTAATTGTGGAAAGAGCGTTTGAACCAAAAAATGATGCTGTCCCAGAGGCTTTGACAGTAAAGGGCAGATCCTCAACAGGAGGAGAGGGAAGGTGAAAAGCATGGCAGATCGTCTGAGGTGACAATGGAGAGAAATGCTGGGACAATCAGCCCACAGAGGGGGAAACCAAGCATCAAAGCTAGGAGGAGGTTGGGGGAAGTCCTTGATCAAAAAAAAAAAAAAAAAAAAAAAAAAGTGACAAGTAAGCTATTACTTCATTTACTTCAGAGTTCAGAAGGAAAGGAGTGAAATGTGTGAAAGAGTGATTAATAAATTACGAGTTAGAAGAAACATATGGGAGGAAGGAAGGGGAAAAAAGGAGGAAGATGAAAAAGGATATAACAAGAAGAAAAGCAGAAATTAAGATTAGAAATGGTAGGAAAGAGTATCATCTATTGATCAAAGATAAGACACAGGAACAAAGACAGAAAAACTGCCTCTTTTTAATTGCAAGCATATATAATGGAAAAAAAAATCAGTTTCTAAGATCTGTGAGCCTGGAAAGTATTTTGATGCTGC